CAATAAGTACAAGCCACTCGCGGATACATTAATTAGAAACGGTCACATCGTCTATGTCGACGGCTTCGTCGTAGGCGCCCTAGGCACCTGGAACTCAAATAACGACCGTATAAATGCACTGCTGCGCATCTCGCAAAGATACGCCTCGCTAATGCGCAAGCTGATGATCTCGGAGACTATCGCGTGGTCCCGAGACGTGTACGTGGAACACGTTTCGGGCACCCGACAATACTGCGTGCAGGAGTTAACCGCTCGGGAAGCGACACTCTCCACGAGCACGCCCGCGAGCTCGCCCGCGCGATCGAACACCTTCGCGACAAACACCTCAACGAACGTCTGTGAGATCATAGCAGCGTAGCAGCAGCTGCAGGATTCTGACCCCGCCCCCCACTAACTAATTTTAAAATAGTCGAAGCACACGTGCCTGCATGCCGGCGGGAAGCGGGGCAACTCTCGCTCTCCAAAATCAAAACTGTAATCTTCAATTTACACATTCTGCAATAGTATTACAGGTCTATCCATCCTAACTCTACTATAATCAAGCCGACATTTACTCAATAGCATTCTAATCATTTTCTGGCCACCGCTTATAATAGTATTTTTAATTCTCCAGAGTTAACGCTCCACAACCCGCCGGCATTTTCCGTCCAAGTGCCGTCCTAGAATGACGATAATGACACTGGCACCTAGTGCCATAATGAGTACATTATTTTTGCCATCGCTACTATTATTTTTTTAGTATTGCTATTATTTCTATTGCTATTATTAATATTATTACTATTGTTATTATCAATATTGTCATCACCGCAATAGTAGCGAGCTTTACTTTGACTACAAAGGAGGTGCATACGATCGAGTCGATTCTAGATTGGATTCTTGATTTTAGACGCTCTATCATACGTAAATGACATTGCACTCTACTCCTATTTGTCTCATTACATCCCACGCAGCGCCCGTATGAATGAGGAGAAAGGCCGGTGCAACGCCGGTTCCCCCCTCCTTCTATCTCTAGGCGGGCGCACGCCACTTGCGTGTACCTGCAACATTACCAACTTAAAATTTATGTGCATAACAGGGCGGTGTGCGAAACGGCACCGGCCCTACAATAGTCTTTTTCCCTTTCTTTTTGTTACACAATTAACTAGAAAGCGAATGGACTGCATATTGCGGGGTTGTGCGAATGTGTCCACAGCCCTACAATTCTTTAATTACTATCTCTATGTACCTGCCCTATGGGCAGCGCGAAATGCGCCCAATTGTAACATCCCCCGGGGGAAACATGGATTGCAATAAAGTCAAAGTTATCTGTTCTTATCAGCTTAATCCTTGATACCCTTCTAATCGGAAGGCGGAAAGATAATCTTTTTTCCTGGAAGTTGGCTCGCTCTTCGGCCCGGCATTACAGTGCCGCGGGGATTTGGCCGAATAAATACTTCCAGAAAATAGAGTCGCTTGCGAGAAAGTTTCGCGAGTGCAGTTTGAACAGTGCATCGGAAAAAGTGCGCGTTTGCGTTTCTCTGAGTGCGGCGGCTGTAAGGGAATAAGGAGCGAGGACTAACAATCAATCTTGGAGGGTAAGACTGTGCGCGATTCGCGTCTTGCGTTACCTCTGTGTTGCGCGTGTGCTTCCCGCGAATTTTTTCTATCGCGCGCGCCCGCGAGTGAACGAGCGAGCGGTTTCGGAGCACGTGCCGCCATCTCTGGGCGACAGCGATAACCGCTCGACGCGCGCCTCCCGATCTTCGCGCGCGAGTAACCACGGAAATGGAAATGGAAACGGAGGCGTCCGTGGCGCCCAACGTGGAGCGCGTTTACATCCTTAAATTCCCGCCGCCGGAAACTCTTTCGTGCCCACAATGCGAGGTGGAGAACCGACACCCCGCTACACGATCCAGAAGCGTCGGGATTTTCAGGAAGCATGGCGCGTTGGCCAAACACCTGAAACACTTC